ATCATATTTCGCCGTGGCTTTTATACTTATCTCACCGTTGCTTTTATACTTATTTTACCGTTGCTTTTATAATTATTTCGCCGTTGCTTTTATACTTATTTCGCCGTACCTTTATACTTTTCTCGCATCACAATCATACATCGCATTTATACAAATTTCACCGAGTACATTTATCGCAATCATACATCGCATGTACACACAGTCATCAGACTCATTATTTGAATAAACACATTTTCTTATTTATTATTAACATTCACGTGCATTCTTTCTTGACGTACCCCCAACCGAACGAACCCGGCGAGCTATACCACGTCCGAAAAAGCTCACACGGTTTCAAACAGATCAGCATTTTGGTAATACAATGGATCGATATAGTTCAAGTCTCATTGTGTTCCGAACATTGATCCGTATAAATAAAGGCGGCACACAAGGCGCCGCGGGTTTTTATCAGCAAAGTTCCAGACGAAGCACGACACGTCGCGTACACGCGTAACCGCAGTAGTACGGTCGCCGAGTGAGTGAGGTGACAAGTGTAATAACAAGATACCAAATAAAAGTTATTCTATTTATTCAGAAGTGCATAATTATTCTAAACTCTCCGAGCTAAAGCCCCCCTTGACCAGCACGGCGAATCCCGAATCTTTACGCAGCGCCTACCAAAGTAGGCGCAACAATATAGCGCGGGTCCGTCGATGTGGTCGCGCTGCCACGGTTGATTGTAATGCTTAAGACACGAACGATAACCTCGCACCTCCGGATCCGCTTTTAAATGTTCCGGAAGTTTCTCCCACAGACGCTTAACGTACCGACAAAAGTTTTGTAAAAGAATCACTTTCGGTATAAATCGCAACTCCTCGGCTAACAAATGTAAAATATCGTCCGTCAGTACGAAAAACATTTTTCCAACTGAAGAATGTTTGAGCCGCGCACACCTATAAATAGCATGCAAGCATCGAACGTTAATCAGTAAAAATGAAATTTGTCCGACAACCGTATACGATTCGTGTGAAAAATATGGACGATAAGACGCTGGTGGGAGGAGCTTACGCATCTAGACACGGTCGAATGCTGCCAAGCACGATACGCGGTATCATTTGCGGTCCCTCGAATTGCGGTAAAACAAACGTAATGTTGAATCTGTTGGAAAGTCCGCACGGTGTGTGTTTCGAAAACGTGTACATGTACTCGAAATCGTTACATTAGCCGAAATATCGATATCTCGAAAGATTGCTCGGACCGATCAAAGACATCGGTTACTTTACATTTTTGGATAATTGCTCCGTGATACCTCCGAGCGAGGCGCTACCAAATTCTATATTTATCTTTGACGATATAGCCTGCGACAAACAGGATGCGATTCGAAAATACTTTGCGATGGGTCGACATTCCAAAGTCGATTGTTTCTATCTGTGCCAGACGTACGCGAAAATACCTAAACATCTTATACGCAACAACGCGAATCTGTTAATTTTATTCAAGCAGGATGGTACAAACCTTAAACATGTCTACAACGATCATGTAAATACGGACATGACGTACGAAGATTTCTGTACATTGTGTCGCGCATGTTAGCAGCACAAGTGCGGTTTCATTGTAATAGACAAAAATAGTGCGATTGGCGATGGACGTTACAGACGTGGTTTTAACGAGTTTGTGGTACCACGAAATGGTTAGTTGTTCTCGAACCGTCGACGATGACGCTCAACACGAAAGATATTGAGGGGCGTGAGAAGTTGGCGAAGGAGATTGTTCGTACGAGCGAATTGATTCGCAAGAAACATCGGACGTTGAAGGCTAGAAGGATAGAGAAGAAGATAGATTTGGAGAAGCATTTCAAGCCAGTCGTCGAAACGTTGAAACGAATCGTCGAGAATATCAAGGGTGACGATGATTCAGTTGACGATCTCGAGATTAAAAACGAACCGGACATCAAACGAAAGCGGTCGAGCTTTGAGAAGAAGAAAATCAAGCGTACCTCGTTAACGATACCGATATAGACCCCGTTGACGTCATCGATACAAGCCTCGACTCCGCTCCAGCCGCAAAAATTGATGTTTGAAGCACCGACAAATTTACCGACCGAAAACGTGTTCGAAACCACGGACCCGTCTTTCGTAACATCCGTGAGACAGACGATGCAAACGTCCGATGGTCAGGAAGCGCTGCACAGCCATTTGGGCCGGCTCGGGCGAGAGTACATCGGAGTCCTCTTGAGCGGTGATAACAATATTAATAATGTTTACGGAGTGTACTACAACAACGGGGGAACGCAGCTAGGAGACAAGCGCTTTGACATTGATAAAAATGATAACATAATTGTGAACGACGTTAAATACACTGGTACGCCCGGTCTGTATGAATTAATATTGAAAAGACATCCCGACGATGTGGTGTACACGGAGGATGATAAACAGTGCGACGTGAACTAGCCTCGGAATCACGCTAGATCCGAGGGAGCACGCCCAATGGAAATCGGTAACCGCGGTACTCCACGATCTTCGGGAGCTAGGTAACTCGCGAAATCGGCAATAACTGCACGATTCGGTAACTCGCGGTATTCCACAAAATTCGGGAGCAAGGTAACTCACGCGATATCGGTAACCGGAAATGGGCGCCAGGTGCGAGTAATCGCACCGCGGTATCGGTAACTTCAACAGTTCTCAAAAATGCTCGGCCGCTCCCCGCTCAGTATATGGCAGAGGGGCGCAGTTCTTTTATTTAACGTTAGATATCTAGAGTGAGAGGCGAACACAAGGACAACTCGATAATTAATATTTAACAATAATGTATTTCCATGATTCGGTTACAAGGGTAAAGATGTGTGGAGCGTTCGTCCTGAGCCGATACGGCGGAAACAGTTCAATGCGGTAGTAAGGCCATTCGCCCAATTAATCGGTAACAAGAATAAAGTTCGACAATTACACGAAATCACGGAAACGCGATCACGATAATTCGCCGCTGATCCGACTATATACAGCAAACAAATGACTTATATTTTGATCATCCGATACGGCCGGTGAAGGCCAAATAAATATTCTTTGAACGACGGTAGCCTAACGGCCAGAAATGAGATGTCGCGGAACGGCTATTTTTCGCGGGCTTTCCCGTTTCTCGCCGAGACGCTAACTTTACGGTAACAGCAATCTCGCGGAGAACGTTCCCGAACCAAAATCCGCGGACATTCACCCACGGTACTTCCGGTACGGTGATAACGCGACAAAATCGGTAACAGAACGGTATCGCAAGAAAGACGGTAGCAATCGGTATCTTCCCAAAAGAAACGGTAACGGAAAGACGATAGCAATCGGTATCTTCAAAAGAAACGGTAACGGTAGGACGGTACGGTAACAAAACGAACGGCAAACGAAACGGCAACGAGAAGAGACTGTCGGCGCTTAATTCTCGCAAGACGGAGAGACTTTTACGCGCTATCCGGAGCCCGCTGGACATGCGGTAATTGAGCGTAATTGAGCTCAGTGGCTCTTCTCGGCTCTGTACGTAGGTCCTTCCAAATCCGCGTCGCCTTCCTGCGCATCCTGCCGATTTTCCAAAAAGGGGGGCCCCTGAAAACCGCCCACAGTTCATCCAGGGCCGCCCCCCCCTCCCCGCTTTCTGTGGTTTCCTCAAATCCTTCGGCCGATAATGTGTTGATGAGTCGATGTTCCCGGAAAAGACTGGTTAGGCTGGCCGAGCCATACTCCGGTCTTTCCGGGTGCAGCATCTTCGGAGTCCTCGAAGCCGTCTGCAGCCGGGCGAGGTCCGCTGCTGCGTGTCTCTGCGCTTCTTTGATTTTGTGGCTAAAACCAAAGCGGAGTTAGATAGGGCTTGGATGGCGGAGGCGACGGAATCGCGGTACCTTTTGCTATGGGGTCACTAACGCGTGACACCCGTCGATGATCCCCCGGCGTCCGGTCTTCATGGCGATGCTGCATCTTCGCCCTGAGGCACAAAACACGCAACGCCGCCCGCACGGGGTCTTGCCTTACAACTTAAAAACGATATTAACGGTACAAAGGGATTGACATAAAAAACAAATCGTATCGATTGTGGAGTCTCGCGGGTTGCTCTCTCCACGCGAGGAGCAACACCAGGACTTTTTGCTCCCTCGGTCGGGCTATCGCCCTTGTGACGGCGCTCGAAAAGCGTCACGTCACAACTCCCCCTTCCCAGAGGAGGACCGCGGGGTTTCGGTCCCGACGAACGCCGGTGACCGCCCCTCCGGTAGCCTTACCTGGGTGTTCTCACCACAAAACCGCAAAACTCGACAGCTTCCCCAGTCGTTTTGTTTCCCCCCCTGCCCCGTTTGGATTCCGCGTGCGATTATCCCGAAAGTCTCTACGAAATTCCCGTCCACGCGAGGATCGCGGGGTGTTTCTCAATTAACGGAAAGCTCACGCCTTACTACTAGGGGAGGGTGAGGAAGTAAACATGAGTTGGTTTGACGGGCTTTATTTGTGTGCTGTCAGTGCAGCGACTTGTTGGTAATAGCAAAACAACAAAAAAGAAAGAAAAAAAATTAATAATCAAGAGGACAGAAAAAAAAACTATAATACTATTGTAGGATTTAGATTTAAATTTAGCGCTATATTATTTGTTTTCGAAAAACGTTGCGACTTGGCGTGACGAGCGCGACACCGTCGCCGCGACGAGCTTCTTTTTTTTTGGGAGAAGGGACATTACGAGGCTGGCAGCAGTAGAGCCGAGTCGAGAAAGTGACGTGTGTGCGACAAGACTTGATTAAACCTCTCATTTACGAGATTTATGCCTCATTGATCCCACTTTATTTTACTTTGTTTGATTCTTGAATAAAATAACTTTTTTACAACTGGGGGCTCGCCCGGGATAGAGGCTAGTAAGTGAGAAAACGACGACGAGAAACGAAACGACGACGAGAAACGAAACAACGACGAAAGACGAAATCACGACAAAAACGACGGAAACTTAGCCGGGATAGAGGTTAGTAAACTAAAGACGAAAGATAAAAGTAGAAGACGACGACGATGGCAAACAATGACGAAGGACGAAATCACGACGAAAATGACGAAGACGTGCTGCAAGCCGACGCGATGACGGTGATCCGGCTAAAAGAAGAGCTTAAAAGACGTAAGTTAAAGGTGTCGGGCAATAAAGTCGATCTAGTAGCACGACTAAAGGCGGCCTTAGTGCTGGAAGGCCAACACGAGGAAGATGACGACAACGACGGATCCAGCGACGAAGACGAAGGAAGCGATGCCGACGCAGATGGCGCCGCAAAAAACAGACGCCGATCAAAATTTGTGCCGACTTTCAAGGACGTGGAAGAATCAATTGACACATTCAGTGGAGATGACGGTACAAATGTGAAGACGTGGATCAAAGAGTTTGAGGATCTGGTCAAGTTATGCGAGTGGAACGAGACACAAAAGATCATCTATGCGAAGAGGTTACTGAGAGGCTCTGCCCGCTTGTTCATAAAATCTGGTGATTGCCCAAAGACGTGGAAGGTTATGAAAACTGCCCTGAAGTCGGAATTCACACAGAGAGTGGACAGTCGTGCGGTACATAAGCAGCTGCAGAGAAGAAAAAAAAAAGCCAGCGAATCCTACCATGAATACTGTTACAAGATGGTGGAAATAGCTACGCGAGCGGACGTTGAGACGAAAGCGGTAATTCAGTATATTATTGACGGCATAGACGACGAAGAATATCGTAAGTCCGTCTTATACGGTGCTAAAACTATTCGCGAATTAAAGGACAAATTCGATACTTATGTAGAAATGTGTGGTAGAATAAAAACAAAGTCGAACGAAAATAAAAAGAAATCGCCGGTGGAAAGTAAAGTTGTGAAACAAAACGGAAAACGCTGTTATAATTGTGGTGACAGTAATCATTTAAGTGCAGTATGCCCGTCGAAAGGGCAAGGCCTGAAATGTTTCGGTTGTAATAAATACGGTCACATAGCGGCGAAATGCCCGGAGAGTGCAGATGCGGAAAAGAAGAAAAGTTGTAACGTAATACAGTCCGATTCCGGAAAATGCCGTAAAGACGTAATTATAAACAATACGAAGTTGAGCGCGATAATCGATTCCGGTAGTGATATCAGTCTGATGTGTGAAGAAAATTATAAACAAGTCGGATCGCCGGTCTTAGGAAATCGTACGATTAGATTCCGAGGAGCAGGTTCGGGAGAAAACACGACGTTAGGAGATATGCGCTTAAAAATCTGTATCGATATGGAAATATATGATATCATTGTGCATCTTGTTCGCGACGAAATAATTCCGCACGGTGTGCTCATAGGATCCGATTTTTTGAACGGTGTCGAAGTAAATATCAAAAGGGGAATCGTAAATATTTCAAAAATCGCGGATGATTCTAGCGAGTTCGCGGAAGTTTGTAAAATTGACGCGGTGCAAAATGACGAGCACATGGATTTATCGCACATCGCGAACGACGATATTAAGACAGAAGTAGCAGGCCTAATAAAAGAATATAAGCCGAAAAAAGAGGAGGAAGTAGATGTCAAAATGACTATAGTTGTAAAAGACGATGTTCCAGTCACACAAAACGCGCGTAGACTATCGGTAGCGGAAAAGGCTGAGGTAGATTTACAAATTCACGAGTGGCTTGAAGAAGGAATAGTGCGACCATCATGTTCAGATTACGCAAGCCCGATAGTACTGGTTAGAAAAAAGAATGACTCGATAAGAATTTGCGTGGACTATCGAAGGTTGAACGAAAAGATAATTAAGAATCGATATCCTTTACCGTTGATCGAGGACCAATTAGATTTTTTGCAAGACGCGAAGGTGTATAGTACGCTCGATTTAAAGAACGGGTTTTTCCACGTGCCGGTTGAGGAAACGAGTGTTAAGTACACTGCTTTTGTTGTCTCGAATGGACAATATGAATTTTTAAGAATGCCATTTGGCCTCAGCACTTCTCCAGCGTATTTTCAAAAATATTTTTGAAAATATGTAAATGCCGTTTTTCGCGATTTAACTGCGGAAAAAATTGTAACGATATACATGGATGATTTGATAGTACCTTCGGTTGATGTAAAAGAAGGATTATCACGACTTAAGCTAGTATTAAAGACGGCGGCTAGATACGGGTTATCATTTAATTGGAAAAAATGCCAGTTATTAAAGTCGAAAGTGCATTATTTAGGATACGTAATAGAAAACGGAAAGATCACGCCTTCTGAAGAAAAGACTGACGCCGTGAAACATTTTCCAAAGCCGACCAGTGTGCGCGCCGTACAAAGTTTTTTAGGCCTTACAGGCTACTTCCGCAAGTTTGTACCGCAATATTCCCTCATAGCGCGTCCACTAACCGATCTGTTAAAAGACGAAAGAAAATTTGATTTTGATAAGGAACAAAAACATGCGTTTGATCAGTTAAAACTGGCTCTTAGTAATAGACCTATTTTACGTTTGTACTGTCCGGCGGCGGAGACAAAATTACACACCGACGCATCCGCCCTTGGTTTCGGTGCAATATTACTTCAGCGCGATAGCGAGGATCGGTTATTCCACCCGATATATTATGCAAGTGGCAAGACTACGCCGACTGAAACGAAATACGATAGTTATAGACTAGAAGTGCTAGCCATCATAAAAGCGCTAAAGAAGTTTAGGGTATATTTAATCGGAATCTCGTTTACTATAGTAACCGACTGTAAAGCGTTTATGCAGACTATGAAGAAAAAGGACATTTGTACGCAAGTAGCAAGATGGGCGCTCTACCTTGAAGAATTTCGGTATTCAATCGTACATCGTCCTGGCAAAACAATGCGACATGTGGATGCCTTGAGCCGACATCCGTTACCTTCCGCCATGCTAATTGAAGAATGTCAAGATGATATTTTAACAAGACTCCGTCAAAATCAGCAGGAAGACGAGGAAGTGAAAGAAATTGAGAAAAAGATGAAAAAAGGACGAACAGACGGATTTATAATGGCGAATGGACTGTTGTGTAAAGAAGTGGATGGCGATACCCCAATCGTCGTACCGAAACTGATGCAAACTCCTATAATCCGTCAGATCCATGAACGCGGCCATTTTGGGAGTGAAAAAACGAAGCAACTGCTGAAGTCCGATTACTGGTTCAAGAATATGCATCAGAAGATCAACAAGGTCATTCAAAATTGTCTCGCTTGTATCATGGCTACGAGAAAAACTGGCAAGCAAGAAGGACTACTCCATCCCCTCGATAAGGAAGTTCTGTTGGACACCTACCATGTGGATCATTTGGGTCCAATGCCGTCGACACAGAAGAGGTATCAACACATATTTGCGGTGATAGACGCCTTCACTAAGTTTGTATGGCTTTATCCGACGAGGAGCACTGGGACGGTAGAAGTACTCAACCATTTAATGAAGCAGTCAGCTGTTTTCGGTAATCCTAGACGAATAATATCCGATCAGGGGACAGCCTTTACGTCAAACGATTTCAAAACATACTGTGAAGACGAGGGTATAGAACACATCACTATCGTTACTGGCGTACCAAGAGGTAACGGTCAGATCGAGCGAATAAATCGGACGTTAATCCCGTTATTAACCAAGCTATCCTTGCCGCATCCGACTCAATGGCACAAGTTTGTCGCACGAGCACAGCAGTATTTAAATCACGTACCAAGTCGGAGTACAGGAATGACACCATTCCATCTTATGTTCGGAACACGAATGAGGCTCAAAGAAGATCCTCAGATAAAAGAGATATTGGAAACAGAAAATGCTACCATTTTCCTAGAAAAACGTGATCAATTACGAGAAGAAGCACGTAAAGCTATATCAAAAATCCAGGCTGAAAACAGGCGAAGTTACAACAAGAAGCGTAAACCTCCGAGTAGTTACAGCGAAGACGACTTGGTAGCCATCCAACGAACGCAGGGCGGACCAGGGTTAAAACTCTATACAAAGTATTTAGGACCCTATCGGATCAAGCGCGTCCTACGAAACGATCGATATATCGTAGAGAAAGTAGGTGAAGGAGAAGGCCCCAGAGGAACTTCGACTGCCGCTGACCACATGAAACCGTGGGCAAATCTACAGGAGGACCCGCCAGATAACGAAGATAACGACATCTGAGGACAGATGTCAGTCGGATGGCCGAGTGTAGGATTTAGATTTAAATTTAGCGCTATATTATTTGTTTTCGAAAAAACGTTGCGACTTGGCGTGACGAGCGCGACACCGTCGCCGCGACGAGCTTCTTTTTTTTGGGAGAAGGGACATTACGAGGCTGGCAGCAGTAGAGCCGAGTCGAGAAAGTGACGTGTGTGCGACAAGACTTGATTAAACCTCTCATTTACGAGATTTATGCCTCATTGATCCCACTTTATTTTACTTTGATTCTTGAATAAAATAACTTTTTTACACTATACTTAACCTACAAAAAGTACAAAAAGAAAAGCAAAAAGAGAAAAACAAGAAAAAAAACAAAAAAGTAAAAAAGAAAAAGAAAAAAGAAGGAAAAAAAAGAAAGAAAAAGAAAAAAAAAATGTTGGTGGTCTGCGTCCCCTGAGTCTTCACTGTGAGGAGGATTCCGACTGGCTTCGCCACGGCCATCCCTCGGAGCTGGTGGAGGTTTGCCGGGACCTTTGCCCCCGGCCGCCTCGTCGCCGCCGCTCTCGCGGTCCCCGGGGCCCGGTGTAGCGCTCCGTCCGCCGGTACGCGGGTCCGCAGCGCGGGCATGTGCGGACGGTCACGTTCCGTTCCCCGCAGCCAAAGCAAAAGCTTTGCATGCGGGGCAGGTCGCACTCCGGGTAGGCGTGCAGCTCAGAAAGGCAGTTCCAGCAGCCTCCCGGATGCCGTAGGTTCTCCGCTGGAGGGGCCCATACCGCCGGGCTAAGTCCTCCCTCACCGCCTTAGTTGGCGGCGGCGGCGGTAGCCAGTCCTCCTGGATTGATTCCGACTGTCGGGCGCTCTCCCGGGTGTCCGCTTGGGTGCCGGCCTCGCAGGTTGATTCCCGGGTCGTCCCCACCGCCGCGTCGCGTGTTGCGTGGGCGGAAGTCTGCGTTTCCGCGTTGCGAGTAGAGGGAGGCTCGGCCACTACGGCGCCCTCCTCGGTCCAACGCCACCTTCGGGCCACCTCCATAGTGTCCCAGAGGTCATCCCAAAATCCGGGCTCGCGGTCGTGTATGAAGCGCCATACACGGCGGTGGCGGTGCCAAAATGCGCGAGAAATGCGCCGCAGCTCCTCCATATCCATTACGTTGCGCTGCATCTGCTTTCGGGATCGGGAAGGCAATAAGGTTTAAGGTCCTGCACGTGAATTTTTCCCGCGGGAGACCCGTCCAGCTGGACTAGCTCGTACACGACGGGCGAGATCACCCGCGAGATTTTCAAAGGGCCCTGGAACCTGTGTGCCAATTTCGCGGCTATATTCTGCGCCGCAGACGATAATACGTGCTGTCGCTTCAGCACCAAATCGCCGACCTCAAAACGTCTATCACGCCTGCGTAAATTATAACGGGAGGACTGTCTTTGAAACGCCTGGTCTAGGTTTTCCACAATCCATTCGCGCAATGATTGTAATTTCTTCATGCGCTCCCCCCATTCTGCGGTATCTTTACTCTCAATTTCGGTAACCTCATTGTCGCGACGCTTTAGTGATTGCACCGGCTCTAACTCCCTTCCTAAGTTGAGGAACGCGGGAGATGTCCCTAAGGACGAATGAAACGCGGTGTTGTACGCGAAGCGGAATTCGGACAAGTGTTTGTCCTACTCGCGATGGTCCTTCTCTATGAACGAAATGACCATTGTCTTAAGAATGCGGTTTACTCGCTCTACGGGATTAGCCTGAGGATGATAGAGCGGTACCGTTGTGTGCGTGATATTACGCCCTTCGGCAAACGCCTTCATCGTTTTATTGATAAATTCGGTACCGTTATCCGTCAATAAAAATTTCGGAGCGCCCCACCGTGAGATTACTAAATCTTCGAGGGCCTCTTTAATTTTGATTCCGGTAGCCGATCTGAGTGCTTTGCACTCCATCCATTTGGTGAACAAATCCTGAATAACAAGAATGTACTGAAATCCCGATTTACTACGCGGCAATAGCCCTATGATATCGGCAGCTACGGTTTTCCATGGGCCGTCCGCAATTCGGCGACCCATGAGACCTGCGGGACACGTTTGTTCGACCTTGGTGCGCTGGCAAATATCACACGCTCGCACGTAATCGGTAACATCACGAAACAAATTCGGCCAAAAATAAGACATGGCGACACGCTGATAAGTTTTCTCTACGCCTAGGTGACCTGCCTGCGGCGCGTCGTGTAAATTTTTTAAGGTTTCTCGGCGCAATTCTTTCGGTAGGACTAATTTCCAACGGTCGAGGTCCTCGACTATCTCGGAAATCACGCGTTTCGGCCTCAAAAAATATAATTGCCCGTCCACGACCTTCCATTGCGTGTATTTATTCGGACTTGATATTATCTCTTTATATCTTTTGCGGTACCAATCATCCTTCGTATCTATCCCCGGAGCGGTATCGGCAGCGGCAAGCGCGCCAGCGGTATCATTTTCGGTAACCAAATTAACGGTATCGGTAACGGTATCTGAATTTTCCACGGTAACTTGAGTTTCGAACATGCGAGAAAGTGCGTCAGGCACGTGATGTAAGGCACCTTTCCTGTGAATTACCTCGTAATCGTACTCTAATAATTCGAGAGCCTATCGAACTAATCTACCTGTTAAATTTTTCAAATTATGTAACCAGCGTAGACTGCTGTGATCGGTAACAACTGTGAATTTATAGCCTTCAAGATATGGTCTGAATTTCTTTATCGCCCAAACGACTGCTAAGCATTCTTGCTCGGTAACTGTGTATCTTGTTTCGGGGCCTGCCAGAGCGCAACTTGCAAAAGCTATTACCCTTTCATCGCCATCAATCTTTTGAGTCAAAACGGCACCTAATCCTACAGAACTAGCGTCAGTCTGCAAAACGAAAGGTTCTTCAA